CATTATGGTTATTTACATTCAGGTAATTGTCCTCATCTTTGTTATCACATTTTGACTATTGTGTCCTCTTGTATTCATCAGGTGTATTTCGATCTGGGTAACCTACAGGAAATTACAAACCGAGCCCTTTATTAAATCTATGAGGTTAGACTATTTGATATACACCTGATGAAGGCTGGCGGGCATAGCAGCTGAAACATGGTAACAACAAAGATGAAGACAATAATCCAAATAACTCCTCATTCCAGAAATTGACACAAAAATGGTGCATGTGAAGTTGTATATATATATATATATATATATATATACACCACATTCTGTATTGTCTTTGTATATAAAAATGATTTACTGATTCTGTGAACACAGAACAAAAAATATACACTTTTCAAAATCACAATCTGTAAATAACTGTCATGATACATGAAAGAAAATGGTAATTTGCTTTTTAAGCCCTGCGGTAAATATGTAATAAAAATTTGCTGAAAAGTTATATTTAGGTGTAAATATACACGCTTAATAAAAAATAACAAAGAAATTTTGATAAAATCTACCGTTTCAGAGTTATTGACAATAGAAGGTCGGACTCATTTGTGTTGCGACAGCCATTACTGGTGTTATTTGCATATATTTACTGTGGAACAGTCTTGATTATTGTGCACGAAATGAGTCCTCAGTTGTGCAGCAATTGAATCAAGAACTGTAAAAAGGCCGTTAACAATGTAATCTTCCACGCAAATCTAGCCAGCAGCAAATGTATGCAAACAATGCTAGTAATGGCTGCCATGCTGTAACATGAATGAGTCTGAAGTTTTATTGTCGATAACTTGAAAACAGTGGATTTTATCAAAATTTCTTTTGTTATTTTCGAATTAAGCATATACATTTACATCTAAATATAACTATTTGGCAAATTTTTATTACATATTTAGCCCGGGGCTTAAAAAGCCAATTGCCCAAAGAAAATAGCCAAACAAAATCTGCAAAGGAAAGTCTATGAACTTGAAGTACATCAGAAAAGAAAGGAACCCAAAAAATGAATTATGACAAAAATCAAGCAACCAAGAGACAGCATTAAGAATTACTGTGTTCATTCACATAAAAGTGTCACCCCAGAAGATTAGCTGGGTAGTTGATCATCAGCCAGAATGCACATCTGGGTGTAAAATAAGAAAACGATTATTGCCTTTGCAGTGGCCAACACATGTAAAATAAATGGGTTTATTATTTGCATGCAGGAGTATTGTCCTCATCTATGTTGCTGTTATCACAATGTTTTGGCCATTGTACCCTCTGACTTTCATCAGGTATATATTGTGATCTAGGTAACCTGATGAAGGCCAGAGGGAACAATGACCAAAACATTGTGGTAACAAAAATGAGGACAATAGTCCGAATATAAATAATGATAAATCCTCATCCCAGACGGAAAATAGACTTATGTCTCATACCTATTTTTTGGGAGGTGACTAAAACTAATTTCATCTACTCTATGTACAGAGGCTTGAAATAAATATATCTTCATTTCATATGTATTTGTTCGTTATTGCCATCCTCCTTTAGGTATTGCAGCACTGTAGCAGCCATCAAACATAACTGAGAAAAACCAGTATTTGTATCAACCTCATGTAAGCAGAATCGCCCTTTCCAGATTACTGCAACTACTACTAAGTGCTACTAAAATATTACAATGCCAAGCTATTGGGCACCATACGAAAATCTCCATTTGTGACCTGAAACAGTCTGCTATTAAATGTTGTTATATATATGTATAAAGGTTTCTCTCTTAGGGGAGATAACTCTTCCCCTAACAAATCATTGACTCTTCACGGAAAAAGGGTAGTATCAGACAATAACATGGTTGCTGGACAATATACCACCTGTAGGCAGTGCATTGTTTATCCAACCCAATCCTGCTGTATCCTGGTCAGTGTGAATAAAAATGAATATTGTGTTTTAAAATATATTTAACTGTGTTTTGTTATATTTTGGCTTACAACAGTTTCCTTTTTCCATTCTTTGTTCTTTATAATAAAGACAGAGTTCAAGAAAAGAAAAAACTTTTGTCTTTTCAACCTCCCTTTATACTTAACATTAACCTTATGACTATGGTGACCACATTTTCACTTGCTGTGCTCATACATCAGATAATAGCATAAATTCACTTGAAATCATTATAAGCTTAAGATCACAGGTGAAAGAAAATTAAATTTTTATTTTTACATTTCCTGGTTTATATAATCATAAACAGTAATGTTTAATCTTTGTGCCTGCAAAAAAAATGGTGTATCAAAAGGACAGCTATTCCCTTGACATTGCTATTACTGTATACACTTTTGACTCCCTCAGCAATGTTAGTTTTTAAAAAGCAATGATTAGAATTTTAATAAAACCCAAACATATGAAAATGGATTTATACATTGTGTTTATTCTTGAGAATTGACAAAGAGATTAAACAGTTATTTATTAGATTGAATAAAAAAAAAAAAAAAAATAAAAAATAAAAAAATTCATAGTTATTTACAGAATGTTAAATAATAAATATTGCATTGTAGTTGGTTTACACATTCAAAAATTTATAAAAATGATCAATATAAAAGATTTTTCAAATTTATTTCTTTATAAATTGGTAAATAAATCTTTATAAAAGAAAAGGTAAGTTGTACTTGATTCACATATTTTTTATAATCTTGTAAATAAAAATTACCAAGGGAGTAAAATGTATACAGTAAGAGTGGCATCAAGGGAATAACTGTATTTATGGCATACTCTTTTTTTGCTACTACAAAGAGTAAACAAACATTGCCCAGCAAACTTTGCATTTAAAAAAAAAAAAAAAAAAATTTCCATTAATTCTTATAAGATTGTGTTTATTTTAGGATATACAATCTTCCAGCAATTATTCACCTTAGGGAGATGGGACTTTGATTTACATGTTGATAGTTATTTTTCTTTCTGTTTCACTTCCTTGTAATGAAGGTTTAGTGTTAGGTTATCTGGAATACAATGTAACATTTTTGGAGAGGGACTAAAGATTCATTCATATGTAACATGCTGCCATTTTGTGAAACAAACTCTACATGGTTGCTACCCTTGACCTCTTCAAAAGTCAATCATCATCTTTCCTCCTTATCAGCATGATCTTAGTTTTTTACCACCACCTCTTCCATTCATACATTTTATTCAGCATTATCATTTTGTTGACTATAACAATCAACCTTGAATAGCACTCAAGCCTTGAAGTGGATGAACATTAAGAAAAAAAAAAAAAATTCAGATAATGCCAAATTAATATCTGTACTTTTAATCATCTTACCACAAGGTGGATGTTGACTGAATGGAAATGATTTGAGAATTCCTAGAATTAGTTGACTAAGTGTGGACTTGCATTATCATTCTGAAAACTAGTATTTATTCTCATTTCAACAAAGAGTATTTTGCCATAAAATGTCAATCGTGACAACAATAAAAATACATTATGACTTATTTTAATGATAGATTAAAAGCTGCCCTATTGGGTGGTATTTAAGTTAGCTTCGGTAGAGGGCTCTTGATTGGGCTTTCAGCTTGTTCGGGAGTTTGAGAGTCCCTAAGTCTTTGCATATTTTCAACATTGGAAGCTCTCCTGGCTGCCGTTTCTGGGTTTTTATTTGGATGGGACTTTCTTTTCCTCGCTGCAGACTTGGCTCTTTTGATTGCAATCTGGTCCTCTGTTGCTGGAGATTTCTTTTTGTGTGGCATAGTGCTGCCATATGCAATAGGCAACAAATTACAGAAGAACTCAAAATTGATTGCTGCATTTAAGTATTGCATTAATATTTAAGCTTACCTTTTAAAAGTTTAATGATAGTTCTCCTGCCGCTACTAATTTAAAGACAATTTAGGTCCTTACTTTCTGTACAAACAATTATTTTTATTTCATGGCTGGATTTTGCACTTAATTATTCCCAAATTTATTTTCAATTTATAAAAATTGTTATCATACAAAAAAAAAAAAAAAAATTGTTGAAATCAATCACAGTAATGAAAACTTGGGAATCCAAAATTTCTGTAACATGAGCTATTGAAAGTTAGAGAGTTGTGTCCCTTTAATTGAAAAAGCGTGACAGTGACACGCTGACATTCACATTTAATATATGGAAGAGTTTCTAATAGATGAAACAACATTTATCATTTCACTCCAGGTAAGGCAATAAAGACACTAAGACACAAAGAGGTTAAAGAGTTTAGAGAATATGAGAAAAATATACTATTAAAGAGAAAAGATAAGGACAAGAATTAAGACAGAAGATAATGACTGAGATTGCATTAAATTTTTGAAGATCAAAATTGACAGGGAAGCAAGAAACCAGAATAGAGTTCCACAAGTAAGAAGTGCGTTAGAAGAAACTGTTAGCATAGAACTTCCAGTTATATCTAGCAAATTCAACTAAAAAATGACAAGACCTTGCCATCAATTTAATACTGCACTTAAATTCATAAAGGAAAATTTATCAGAATAATTAACATGAAAATATTTATAGAAAAGGCACAGGTATGTTCTGACGGTGGGAAAGTGACTAAAGCCAAGATGCCAGGTAAGGAACAATAACATTGCAGATTCTTTGGATTTTATCAACAATCTCTAAATATATAACAGGAGCACCAGACCAGATGTGGCAGCAATATTCAAAGCACGGATGAATAGTAAATATATGTAAGAATACTATTAATGAGTGAGAGAACAATAAAAGAACAAGATAACAATTGACATTGCATTTTTGCTAGGTATGTATTTGAGATATATATGCTTGCTACATGTGAACAGGTCTTTATTTCCTCTCCCAAAATATGTTGTCAAAGATGGTCAGAACATGGGCTTAAAAATCTCAGACATAATTCTCAGTAAAAAAAAAGAAAAATTATTTTTTCCATTTTGTGTCAAAAAACCAAAAAACAGCAAACATAATTCCTGAAGGTTTTGGTATTGATTCATCCATGACAAAAGCCTTTGCTTCTGAGACAGGAACTTCAATAAGATCAATCCTTTCTCCTTCTTCTTCAACCCCACCACCTTTTCCGACTTTCATTTCATCAGTAATCTCAGCATAAAACAATGTTGCACAAGCACCAGTTGTACTCACACCACCTCTGAAATTAAAGGAAAACAAAATTGGAATTTTTGTTGAATTTTTTTTTTTTTTTTAAAACAAAGAATTATCATTATTATATGCTTTGTTATTCAACCACATGCACCAATCTTGGATGTTATACTCACAACATTTCTGATGTTGTACTATCTGGCATTCTTCAGATATCTTTGCAGTCAATAATCTTAATTTAAAACTGAACCCTTTATTCAATCTACAGAGACAGATTGTTCTCATACTTTTCATGCTTAGGGAAGATAACTCATATCAATTAATATTCTCTAGAGTAGATCAGTCTTAGACAAGTCTAGATAGTTGGCTCATGATATTAGTTTGTTTGCTTATTAAGTAGAAAATTTACTTAATAAGCCAAACAAACTTTTTGATCAACACAATTAAAAAAAAAAAAAAAAAAAAAAAAACAACAAAAAACACAACTTATCTTATTTGTAAATTCTATCAATATTTGAGAAAATCAGTTTTGAAATTGAAATTTTCAAATTCTTTGCTACTCTTATTATGTTACCCAAAATGATAACTGGGCCAAAGTATACCATGTTCTTGTTTTAAAAGAAAAGTAAATGAATGTAAAACTAACATTTAATATTTGTTTTAAAAATATGTAAAAGGAAAGAAATTAAAAAAGTAGTTTATGTAAAATATTATTATTAAAAGCATAAACAATATATCCAGATTACAGGCAGCATTAATACCAAGTAAATGCTATATTTTTAAAAGCTAGCTAGCTAGATAGAGAGACTCAATGTGCAGATAGTTAATCTGGCGAGACAGAGGAGGAACACACTACAAAACAGAATCCCTTCATGTCACTTTTGAGTTCGTTCACTCGAAATCCAGACAGAGTAAACAGAAAGTGGATTAAAGGACCAGAAGAATGAACAGTTTGATCCGGATGGAAACAATATTTTATGAATGATACCAAAAGGCAACACAGACAGCAGATTATTTACAATGACAACTATCATCATTAGTTATGCATCAGAAAAGATCTGGTTATGTTCAGAAGGAGCACAAGAAAGAACCTAGAAATAACTGTTGGGAAAAGAAAATTCATCAGGTGAGACTCTAGCTTAGATCCCTAAGGAAACAATACAAAAAAAGAAAATGAGGTGGAGAAACCACTCATTTTTGAACTCCAAGACACATTGAGGAATAAACTTAAAACAGGTCAAGTATGCAAAAGAGAGGGTTAAAAAAAAAAAAAAAAAAAAGAGCAGACTTTATTTCAAACCCTTTTGGATTTGTGAAGAGATTACTTGGAGATATGGTCATCTTGAGTGTACGGCTTAAGATTCTTTCTTATAAAAGACAGTAATCAAGATAGAGAAAAGAATCTAGGAGAAAATAATACAATAGTGCATCCTGAACAACTGAAAACAATTTTCAACTTAAGGGCACCAACTTTAGTTCTTTTAAAGGAGGTCATATTGACAGCTAGATCATCTTCAGCACCGGGACCCAGCATTGTGTGCTATAGTGTTTTTAAGTAATGTTCAAATACTCAGGTACATCTCTGGAAGTCGTTAAGAGCAATTTGGAAGAGAGGTAGAATGACAAAGTAATGGAGGTACGCCAATGGAGAGTGGATTCCTAAAGAAGAAATCTCTAAAGGAATTGAACAGTTCAGAACAATTTCTTTGCTGGACACTGAGAACAAAAAGTTTGTCAGCATCCTGTCCCAACAACTACCGTATTTGATGGCATATAAGGCACTTTTTTTTTTTTTTTTTACTTTACTAAAAATATCTTAAAATTCCCCTGCATCTTATCTCGTAGGTTTACTAATTTTACTAATTACTAATTTTTTTTTGATTTGCCCTACTGAAATTGGAGTGCGTCTTATATGGTACATAGATACTTCAGTATGGAAGGGGAAGATTATAGGCATCCTAGGTTGCCTGGAGCATAGAGGCATGATAACACAGCTCCTAAGAGAAGCTAAAGGAAATGGCAATCTAGTTGTACTGTGGCTGGACCTCACTAATGCATATGGATTCATTCCACACAAATTAGTCAGGGAAGTTCTAAGATACCATGTCCTATTTGTGTAAGGAATCTTATACAAGATTATTAGAATGATTTCAGCATAAAGACCACCTCTGATTTGATACCTTCCAATTGGCATTGGCTAGAAAGGAGAATTATCACTGGATGTACATTCTCCATGATATTATCCATTTTAATCGAAGGAGAGTTAGAATGGCAAAGCAATGGAGGTATACCAATGGAGAGTGGATTCCTAAAGAAGAAAACTCTAAAGGAATTTAACATTTCAGAATGATTTCTTTGCTGGACACCGAGAATAAAATGTTTGTCAGCATTCTGTCTCAATGGAGTCTTGACTAAGAGGACAGAATTAGGATTTTTTTTTTTGTTGTTGATTGGATGATTAAGATAAATGGAAATAAGATAAGAGTGGAGTATAATTGGTTTCATATGCGGGTTTGCATATATATATCTCAGTGAGGGAGAAACAAAGGTCATTATTTCCCACTTCAACCTGATCATGTTCCCAGATTGAAATTATTACCGCGTTTGCTTCCTTTTATTACAGAAGAGTGTAGATTGCTATGAACCGGAAGTTATTTGAAATTGGACTATAAATTCCCAAGAGGAATTGCAGTGTGTGATTGAAAACTGAGAAAATTTGTAGCTGGCAGTATTGGCTGGGTCACCATGGACAGGGAGTATGATGTTGAAACCCTTAATGAACCTCGGCTAAAAACATCACTGATGATGTGTGTGACGGCATCAAACAGATGCATTTCATAAAAAAAAAAAAAAATGTCAATTTTCATTTAAAAAAAATATTATTGATAATGAAGTCTTATCCAAAATGTAAACAAAATAATTTTAAGAAACCCTGCCAGAAAGCACATTTTCTTTACTAAGTCTCTCAAATGCACATGCTGGTAGACAAATCACACTGTTTAAAACAACAGAGCATTTATTCAAACATGTGTATTCATTAAAAATAATGTTTAGAGTAATAAGATTGGTTGATCAATTGATTTTGTTTAGCAGCATATCAACCTCTATGGTTTTTTTAATGCTGAAATCTAAAAATTTTTTTATGGCTTCAACTACAATGAAATGTATTATTGGTATTTTGTTTTTTTTTGTTTTTTATATAAAAATGAATTGCTGGTATTTTTACTGCCAAAATGTATTTTTAATATATTTTCCAAATGTTTCGTTTTTGTTTTTGTTTTTTTTGTTAGGGGGGTGTCACTATTTGCCCATAGATGGGACCTTAACAGGTGCTACCACCACGAGTCAGGGTAGACCTGGGAACACCAGCACATAATTTGATGCTCCTCAAGATCTCCAGATCAGAGACCTTGTTGCCGGATGTAGTTTATGTGCATACCCAGGACTATAGAATAATAAGAAATAATGACGTCTATAAAATCTATTATAGTCCTTTGCAGTCTTTTGAACAGGAGTAGAATTTTATTCCTTGTTTCCCCGTTTAGGATTGGGTCTACGTCCATACTATACTTCTAACACCTCTGATTGAACTCCAAAAAGTTATTCACTAATTAAATCTTGACCTCTTCAGGTCTTGACATTGCCCCAAGAACTTCCCTTCTTGTCTTTTCTTACACTAATACGATACCACACAGTAAGCCTCGACCATGAGTGGCTCTTGGGCCTTGTATTGGGTGAACATTAAAAAAATAAATAAAAATAATGAATATGTCTTAATTTATTTTAAGCAACAGTTTTGTTTATGGGGCAAGTACATCAGTTTAATTTCAACAACATTTCTTAATGAAATAGATTTGTTTAGCCATGTGACTTTCTTGTGTTGTTAGCAGTAATTAAAGCATGTTGGTTTTTGTTTATATTGAAGACTATTTTTTCCTTCCTTATGCCCCATGTGTAATGCATGCTTGAGTGAACATGGCTCTTTTCAATTCATGATTAACTTGGCAGAAGAATTGCTGTAATAGGCTTGTGTTACTTTCTACAGTTGACTGGTTGCCAATCAAGGCTATAGGACCCAGTCTGCCCTGCCATTTAACCCATAGCTAAAAGGAGAAGTGATGGATTCATACCTTTTCCAAAAGGTATTTATGCATAAGTGAATGCAACAAACCCAACCAGAATTTGAACTCAGCTCTGATTTCTCATTCTGAGCCATTATCCATCACACCACCTGCACATCCACGCTTACGTCACTTGGAATTTCCAAGCAGTCACCCATCTAGGTACTGACCAGTCTCAGTTTTGTTTAACTATATTGATTGGACAAGAATGGCATTTCAATCTGAAGTGGCTGTAAGTAAATACTGTTTACAAATACAATAACATAAATAATGCTTATATATATATATATATATATATATATATATATTTATTTTTTAATGAAAATTTAACATGCAAATGTGTATTAAAATAAAGTGAATCTTGGATAATCATCCTATTAGGTACCTTATAGACAGGAGAAGCAGGACACTGTACAGGAAAAGAGGATTCATGCCTTTCTCAATAATTACATTTTCTAAGCAGGAAAAAAAATTATGGATACTACTTTTAGATATCCCTCTTTCTCATACCCACAAAATAATGAATCCAAATTATAATCTCAGGTAGTCAAATTCTTTCAAAGATACTCTTAGGTAATTAATAGATGGGGGAATGGACTAGAGTTGGTTGGTTTGGCAATTTATGTTTCGGTATCGGTTTCCATATTTTTTTCCTTGATACCGCTGTTTCCAATTTGGTTTTTCGGTTTTTAATTTAGTATTTTTGCTTTCTAAGGAAGCCATTCATTTTCTTGTGTAATGATAGCATTTCCAGTCGATAACTCATTTTGTTTGAGATTGATAAATTTGCAACTTAGTCCATTCAACTCGCAATTTCTTGTGTATTTCTGGTCCAATCTTAAAAGTATTCATATGACTGGAAAGAAAATAATCTTTCTAAATTTGTATGTACTTTTATTCATTGAATTATATTTTACAGAGAGTTAAAACGGTATTTTGCTTCAAACAGCTGAAAATACGAGGATATAAGGATATTTTTTGTTTTTTTCAAGACAAAATTTTACATGTTACTTTGTTTTGCAAAATCAGAGTGACCAATCTGTATTAATATTCTTCAAATTGTACTGCCCTAAAATTCAATATTAAAAATAATTAAAAGCTTTTAATTTCATTTTTAGAATGTGTATATTTCCAAATCTGCGAGTATCACTGTTTCTTTTTTGAGATACACATTTTAAAACTGAAATTAAGAACTATTTTAATCTTAAGATATATTTGTAAAAATAAAAATAATAAAATTTGTTTAGAAGAATTTTATAGGCAGAACACCCACCAAACACTAGTTGCTAAAAAAGAATAATTTTTATTTTGGGTTTAAAATAAATGATTGCAGTTTTGAAAATATACACATTTTAAAACTGAGATTAAAACTTACTTTATTTTTTTAATATCTAATTTTAGGTGCATTTGTAGAAAACAAACAATTTTACACTAGAGACTTGCATATCTGGAAATATACACATTTTAAAAGTGAAATTAAGAACTATTTTAATTATTCTTAATATCTAATTTAGTTTCATTCCCAAGATAAAAAAAAAAAATTTATTTATAAAAAACAGATCTTCATTGATTTTTCTTGTTTACAATGACGTTTTTGTGATTGGTGTGATGGCTTACTAGGAAACCCTTACAAAAAATCCAACTTCATAAAATTTAACATTAAGACAAAACTGGCATCTACTTTTTTTTTTTTTTTTTTTTTTTTTCGCTATTTTGTTAATTTTACCACAAAAAGTTTTGTTTTTTTTTTAAAACTAAAACAAATAGATTTCAGGCATCATGACGTATTTTCATTTTTTTGTGTTTGAAAACATGATTTCCAGGTGACATATCTGTCATATCTCCTTTTTTTCTTCTTCATTTCTTTTGTAAATAAATTAAATTCACATTTATTTCCTAAAACTAGTCAATTAAATGTTTTTAACATTTTTGTTCAATCTTTTTCTCTTATAATGGTATAAATGTTGATAAAATTTAATTTTATGAACATCTGAAAAGTCTTTTTCAATAGTGTTTCTTTGGATATGGTCATTCAGTTGAGTAGTGGTAGCACTTAAAAAACGAATGATTTCGGTTTCGTAAAAAATTTTGTTGCAGTTTTATGGTGTGAAGATGAAACTGAAAAAAGTTGATTTTTTTCGGTTAAACTGCCCATCTCTAGAATGGACATTTATTTATTTTTTTTTTTTTTGAGAAATAATAACAGATTTTTCCTACACTTTTATTTTTCAAAAAATTGGTATCACCCTATGCAAAGCAGTAAAGCCAGTAAGACACAAGGGGTTACTGGGTGGGGGAGAATTAGGAACAGAAACATTAATAATGAGCAGGAAAAGGAAAGAGTAATCAGGAGGACAGTAGATAGTGATTGACATTGCATTTAGATTTTTGAAGATCAAGGTTGGCTGGAAAGCATGGATCCACAAGTGAGAAAAGAATTTACGGCTACATCTAGCTATCTCAACGCCAGTCTTGTACTGTGCTTAAATTAAAAATGTTTAGGTACCATAACAAGAGCTTCTCTGAACCTTGAAAGTATCTGTAGAAAAGCAGAGAAAGGTAACCTCATAGTGATGGGAAAGTGACAGGACCAATAATATTGCTGATTCTTCTTTGGATGTTATCAAGAAGCTCAAGGTAAATAGCAGGGGCACTGAACCTTATGTGGCAACAATATTCTAAGCATGGACAAATGGTAGACTTATAGATATCTATTGATGTCGTTATGGGAGAGTGATTGACTCAAGTACTCTTTTAACCCTTCCTCCCACTTTCTAATAGCCAATACACAATACAAGTAACAAGATCTTTTAGAAAGGTATGAATCCACTTCTTCCCTGAACTATGAGTAAATAGCAGGACAGACCGGATTCTATAGCCTTGGATGGCAACTGGTCTACTTCAGAAAGAAATGGCAACCTACTGCAGGAAAAAAATCTGCCTCATCAGTCATGCATCTAAAGATACATAATCGCCTAAGTGTGTATCACGCATGGCATTAAATATATACGGTGAATAAACAGTATAACAATGGAAGTGAATTAATGACTTTCTCAAAGACATAAGTGCAACATCAGATGCTTCAGCATAAATAAAAATTCCATTTTCAGTCTATAACCATTTCATTGCATTTCTAAATGATAATGGGACAATACAAGAAAATGTGGATTCAAACCTTTTGCCTTTCTAAAAAAAAAAAAAAATCATAGATATCTCCCTTTCTTATAATCAAATAAGGAATTCAAATTTGTGACCTTCATAAGCAATCTGTAAATTTGAAGGCAGAAATTTTGATAACAGACAAGGGAAAAGGAAAAAAAGAAACAAAAAATGGTTTGGTACCTATACGAGACAACTCTTTCAATGTTGTCGAGTGGAATCTTGTAGCCACATTCTTCTAGGATTTCTTCCTGTACGATTTCTTGCAGTGACAAATTCTTATCAACAATGCCAGCACACAATTCCGTTGTGACACCCAGTTTCCCACTGAACTTGCTTGAGTCGATTTTGGTGACACCATCTTCTTCATAAGTTTCACTTCGGTTCATATAAATAACTACAAAAAGAGAAAATTTACAACAACAGAAAATAATTATTTCAGGTCCATTTTTGGACTATAATCTTCATCTTTTGCTGTTTTTTAATAATGCTTAGGTTAATACATTGTACAGATTTCCTCTGTTGTCTGAACTTCCAAGATTAATCATTTCCATTATTCTGTATGTTATTCACACTCTTATAAAACATGGATGAATAAGTTGAACATTAAAACAAAGAAACAAAACAATTTATAAGATCATTATGTTACCTTGACAAAAACCTTCTCATATCAATGATTAAAAATGGCTTTGAGCAAAGGAAGCTTGTAGGTCATAGCAAGAACCATCCTTCAAACCTTATGGATTGGCATTACAGAATCAAAGAATTATACCAAAAACAAAAGCCACATCACTTGAGAACATTCAACAGTAACAACTAAAATGGATAGCACATGTTAGAGAAACAAAAGCATAATCAAGATGTTGGTGTTCCACACTACTTCAAACAAAAGGTTAGGAAGGAAACTGCCATCAATACTGATAAGAGTGGACTTTTCCTGAAAAGTTTTTTTAATAGAAATATTTTATAAATTCCATCTGAAAGCAGTAAAGCTAACCATTCAGTCAAAGAATACCAAATGTTTCCTTATAAGGAAACAGTTTATATCTTCATTTATATTGATATTGTAAATATTAGATGACCATTGTTATTGCTTAGGATAGAAGTGCAACACTTCAGCCAACAGTAGAGTATTTTGAAAATAGAAAACTTGCAATACACAAAATCTGTTCAATAAATGTTTCAGTCTTCATGAATTGTCTGAAATTTCAAGAAAGCATTTTCATCATTCCATAGATTTTCAAACTGTTGTCATCTTTATGGATGTGAAGATAGTGTAATGGTCAACAGCTTGGTAAAAAGAATTCAGTGAGCCAAGTTCAAGTTCACTTTGGGAAAGTTATAAATCTATCTTCTCTCCAGCTAGGGGTTAAACAGTAGAGCAGATAGCCTTGGTTATTAACCAATCTAGAAAAAGGGTGACACTGAATTCAAAATTGTATGTAACCTTGACAATGCACATGCAGCTAGAGAAAAGATTAGAAAGGTCGCAATTCGTAGAGATGAGGACTGCTAATACATTGTTTCATTTCTTTTGTTTCATGGAAGCTTTTTACTTTTAATGATTCAAAAGGCAAAAAAAGCAGCATTTTTTTTTTTTTTTTTTTTTTTTTTACATGCATAGAGCTAATCCTAAAGATAAAAATCCTAGATTACTCACGTAGAAAATATAAATAATGAAGTTGCAAAATTATTTAAATATGGCTGCCATTTTTTGATGGTACAGGTCATGTTACCTTTCTTTGGATGTTTTAAATTGCAAGGATTTAAGAACAAGTTTCTTTCTTACATACAACAGGAGAGTAAATGGCAGACACAAAATCCTAGATTACACATGCAGAAAATATAAACAAAGCAATTGCAAAATTACTTAAGGCTTCACTATCATGAACTGGGTCCACAATCCTAGAGGTAGACAATGCCTTGAATAAAACAGTTAAGTAAATGGAATAAGGTTAATTGACTAAAATAGTGAGACAATCTCATCACAATATTTTGAACAATTAGAACAACATAATTAAACTACTAATTTATCTACTGTTAATTGTAATTAGGTTGAATATAATTTCTTCTTGAAGGTGGACCTAGGATAATAATAGGTGAAGTTATATTTAAATTTAGCTGTTACTAGCAGTAGAGCCCAGCGTTGCCCGGGGATGTAACAGTAAGAGATAGATCAAGTATCGACCATCATAAAGACTGAAAAATAAAATTGACAAAGATTATTGTTTAAGGTTGATGGACACATATGTCTTAATTAGTTTTTTTTTTTGTTTTTTTTTTTTATGAATTGGTCAAACCCAAACAAAAACATTGTTTTCAATCGTTATGAGTCTACCGATTGAATAGAATTTTATTATAAACAATTGTCTTGTAAATGGAATTTTTAAAGCATTCTGAATGTAAAAATAAAGAAAAAAGTGTGCAAGACAATAAGAAACACTACGTGCCAAAAAGAAAAAGTGAAGTTTTGTTGAAATTGGTTGAAAAGTGTAGGAAATCCAATCCCATATATAAATGAACACACACACAAACAACCTGGGTTTTATAAGTATAACTCGATATGAGTTGACCCGCTTTCATTCTTGCGATGCCTCTTAATCGGGTTTTCAAATTGATTTTGTGCAAAAATAATTGTATTTTTCCAATTTTTGGCGCTGTCAGAACCACCGCAAGGTAATTTTACATAGTCCTGTGAAGTTTTGTTGAAATCGGTTGAAAACTGTAGGAAATCCAATCCAATATATAAATGTACAGACACACACACACAACCTGGGTTTTATAATAAGTATATGATGATTGAGAGATTTTCTATGAATTCATTCTTGACCACCATAATTATCAGTACTGTATGTGTATTTATCAACTCCATTTAGTCAACTGTTTTATTCAAGTTATTGTCTTACTCCAGAACTGTTTCCTCAGTAAACAGTAGTCAAGCCTTACTTAAATATAGCCATTTTTTTTTTGACAGTATTGGTTGTGTTAGTTTTCTTTGGATGTTTTTTTTTTTATATTTAATTATTTATAAAGCATGTGACAACAGAGTTAATAGTCTAGATAAAAATCCTAGATTACCAATGCAGAAAATATAGCCAATACAGTTGCAAAATTAAATATGGCTGTCATTTTTTAATGAAAAGGGTAAACTTGTTATAATAGAAATTCTATAAAGAGCAAGTCACTTTATATCAGGCTCAAGGGCTGGCTTTAAGAAAGTCTAGATAAAAAACAAAAAAAAATGTTTTCTTATTACAAGGAAGGAGATGAAAAATTAATATTTACTTGGTCTGAACTGCTTCACAAAGACAAACACTTCTCGTTTGCGATTGAACAAAAGAACACATACACTGTAAAAATAAAATAATTTATTTTAATAAACAAATTCTCAAGAGAACAATTCTTTTTTTTTTTATAAAATAGGTGATATTAGACTCAATACTATTAAAATGCTACAATGTGCTGTATCTAGGGTTAGCCTCATAGTTAAGAGTTTAAAAAAAATGAAATAGGAAAATATACTTCAAATTCTGACTAAGGGTATTCACTTCACAGCAATACCATTGGGAAAGGCATGAATCCACTTCTTCCACTGGGATTTCTCCTTGATGTTTGTACAATGTAACATGGTACAACCTGTCACACTTACAAGATAGATGGGCACCAAGTAGCCTAAATTTCCCTGAAAAAATGCCATTACAAACCCAGTATGAGACCCTAACAATCAGGAATTATAAAGGTTTTTTTTATCTTCTATATAATGAATACAAATGTCAATGTGTCACATTTTTTCAACTTTACTCCAAGAGATCATAGCCTAACATATACCATTTTGGAACCAGTTTGACTTCCTGAGCAAATTCAAAAACATTCTGAGCCAGATCTGGACTCACAATCCTGAAATTTTGGAGTCCCAAGTTTTCATTACAGTGATTGTCTTTAACAGTTTTTTAAAAACAAGATTTTTAGCAACAAATTTTTTTGTACAATAATTTTTATACTTGGAAATAAATTTGGGAATAATCAAAATTAATTACAAAAGTCACCCCTAAAATAAAAATAATTGTTTGTATGGAAAGTAAAGACATTAAATTGTCTTTAAATTAAGTGGTGATAGAAGAATTATCATTGAACTTTTAAAAGGTAAGCTTAAATATTAAGGCAATACTTAAATGCAGCAATCAATTTTGAGTTCTGTAGTTTATTGTTGCCTATCACATTTAATTCTCCCTCCCTATTGTGATGAACACCCAATCAAGAGCCCTCCACAGGCGCTAGCTTAAATATTGCCTGATAGGGTGAATTTTAAGCTAGTTATATAATATACTTACAAATTTTCTAAAATGTCACAATCTTCTATTTCACAATTTAAATGATGCAACAAATAAATAGAAATTCAAAGTTATTTTTAAGCATAGAGTAAAAATAAAAATTTACTTCAAGAATTCATGAAGAAATAATATTGTATCTTCTATATCCCGTGCCCCTTCAGGCAATCATGGTTCTCGACAACTTCCTGTTCCTTTTAACTCTTAGTAATGTTTGTCTTTTTACCATCCTTTGAACCCCTCCTCCAATTTATTCACATAAGCTACTTCCTATCTGGTCCTTTTGCCTTCAATGTCTTGTGAGTGTCAAATTCTTGTGAGTCCTTTCTCAGGATGTGTTTAAGAAATTTCAGCTGTCTTTTTGTTTTTGCTTCCATTTTTCTTAACCCAGATCTACCCTGAGCCCTTGCTGTCCATGACACTAGGCAGTATACTAACCACCCAGATATATGTACTTTCACACAGCAACTGGTATACCAGACCACTCTGCTTCAATGGGTTAAGACTTCTTCATTGCTTACACACTCCGGCCATGGCATTCTCAGTATCCTTCTGTAGAAGCATTTTTCTGCTGCATCCAGCCTTTTCTTCATCTGTGTGGAAATTGCTCAGCATTCACTGTCATATAAAAGGATTGACATCACAATATTTCCTCACTCTTGTTTCTAATGAAATTTTCCTACTTTTTAGTACTTTGTTTAGCTTTTAAAATGCATCTTTTGCTATTCCAATTATTTATTTTCAAACAATTTTTAATCTAAAGAAGGACCTAATAAACATGTCATTCAATGCATGGAATGCTACATTAGAAAATTCTGATTTTGTAGGCGTTCTGAAAGCAAAGGAAATATTTGTCGCAAATTACTTCCACGATGCAGAGAACAAATCACTGTAAGTTCAGACTCGAATGGGGGGGTTGTCAGAAAGAAATGACGAAAACTCAATTCGCAGATACTATCTCACAAATCCCAATGCACGTAACCAGTCAGAAAAATAACTTGCTCTCCGATGAACGCAGTAGCCAAAATACACCAATTTTCATCCCCGATTTGAGAACACCAACCACTTTTATCGGCAGAGCATTTTCCCATTCGTCGACAACTGGAAGAGGATGCCCAATCTTTGTATATCAAAATACTTTTACAGCGACTCTTGCGACGGACTTGTTTTTAATTTACATATTCCGTCTTCAACATGTCTCGTGGAATACATTTTCTTTTTCGCCACATTTTCCATTGTAGGTTACACGTAACACACTGTCACTTGGTTTGATGAGGTAAGTTGCCGTTTCCTTCGCTATAGATTTCCCTGACAATTCCTGGATTTTTCTTTAAACAAAAAGGAAATAAGAATTTTTCAATTCACTGATTTACCTGTTTTCCAGGTGGGCCTAGAAATTGCAACTATTGCTGACAACTACTCAGTCAAATAACAGTTTCTTATTTATGAATCAAACTAGACTTAAAATTTTACAAGATACTAAGTAAAATAGTACTTTACTTGATACCCACTTGTATATGAGCTTATTTGTTTAAAGCGTTATCAACCAAGTGCAAAATACAAGTGATGTTTCACTAAAATAACCTCAAGTAAATACCAAATTTTCAGATGGTGTTAGTATCATGGAATATCTTCAAATGTACTATGGTATTCATAATGTCTGATTTCGGTATTGGCTGCCCTCTTCTGAACAGTTACAGAATCTGTCAGGAAATTCTAGTCTAAAAACTTTCCAATACACACCTCATACATACATATATGCACATATTACATACCTATCATGATTTTTGATAACATCCCATGCCTTTGGTAAGCCATTCTATAGAAAAATACAAAGAAACATTGAATTAATCTTTTATTATTTTTTGAAATTAAGATATTAATAAAAAGGATGTCACAGTTATTAAATTGAGTAGAGTGCCTCTGGAAATTAAATGTCCATTCTGTAAAAAGAAAATTCCCTCCTTGTCTTTAATAAAGAAAATCTCATTTCAAACCCTCAGAAAATGATTTTTTTTTTGGTAAATTTTCATTTTAACACCCGAGCGTCATTCACTGCTGAACTATTTTCTTTCAGAAATTAGTACGCGTTTCCGTAAAGCGATTTTTTTTGTACTTAATTTAAGAAGAAAGTTAACTTTCAAATTAGGGTTAGGTGTATTTTTCCTTTTGTTATTCTTTTATTTGTCGATGTTTACATATATTTGAAAGTTAACTTTTTTCTTAAAAAAATAAAATAAAAGAATAAAAAAAATAACACCTAACCAGGTAACCCTAATTTGAAAGTTAACTTTCTTCTTAAAAAAAAAACAAAAAAAAACACACCTAACCCTAATTTGAAAGTTAACTACAAGGAATTTCTGTGAAGGAAGTAAATAGGCCCAAATTGTATACATCCACCAACAAAATTCAGCACTGAATTACTTATCAATAGGCCGGTAATGGCTGACGAAAGGCCAGAAAAAAAACGATTTTTTTCAGGTCGTTAACATCCAAAAAGCGAGGTTTCTTCAATATCTAATTGTTGATTTGAGTTCAGCATATACATTTGCACAGAAATAAGACTATTTTGGAAAAATTTGAAGGGATATTAGCACTTGGGTGTTAAAATGAAAATTTACCTTTTTTTCTTACATTTATCTTTAAATGTTGCTTATTTTTATCACTTATTTTTTTGTAGATTCAGTTTTTTTGCTGTTAAAGCACAAGAATCCAGACAAAAGTATCTTACAATAAAACTTCAACTGTTATCAAATGCCACAAGAGCTGATCTTTTGTGGATGATGATGCATGATCAAGCCACATTCTCGACTGTATTCTGTCAATCTCTTTAGCTTCTGACAAAGCAAATAGGGGAGGGGGTCAAAAGGATGAATTGTGACCACACAGAATTAAATTCAAGTTAAATGTAAAAATATTTCAGAATTTAAATCCTAATTTAATAAGAGATGCAAGTGAGGTACTGATATTCATTGATGTGAGAAGAAATGGTGTGGCACGGAGAGAAGGAACAGATTTCAGGTCAGCAAGTGTTATAGAGGGACAATTACATCTTATGATTCTTAATCACTAAATTTTTATCATATGTAACTCTCACAAAGCAAATTTAGCCACTTCCAGCGTATCATGATTCCTGTAACCTACCAGGTCATAGGGTCATCACATGATCTGCAACCATAGCAACAGTGAGTGCATCTAGGGCAAAATAGAGCCTACCCTTCTTCAGGCTGTTTTTTAATGCAGAACTGTTTTTCTCCTTGACTGGGTGCCACCAAAGGTAATCTTCCCTATAATTTAACCTATAGCTAAAGGATGATGGATTCATGCCTTTTCCAAAAAACGTTAGTGCAATGTATATGAAACAGACTTGTCCAGAATTTGAACTTAGCTTGCCGATTTCACTTTCTAATAGCCACCATGCTATACATTTGTCCATTTTGTTTTTTACTCTTTTTATCCAGACTCAGTAAAGCAAATAAAAAAAAAAAAAAAAAGAGAGAAAAACATTATTAAGGAGCGAAAACAATAGAAAAGTAATCAGTAGATAGTGATTGACATTGCATTTAAATTTTTGAAGATCATAGTTGGCTGGAAAGCATGGAGCCAAAACTGTTACTCTTTCAGTCCTGTAATTATGAGCTTAGCTAATGTAATATCTTTCTATTTATAAAAATATATTGTGGTTATTTTTGATGAATAAAACTTTTCTCTATGATTGCATTGGTGTGTTATAATCTACAACATATTTATGCAAACAAATTTATTATAATTTTCATTTCAATTATAATAAGTAATTATATTTTCAGTTCAAGTTTTGATTTAATGAAGATTGCCTGTTATGTTATTTTTCTTTCAGCAGTACAACAATATTTTACATAATTGTAACACTACAAACATTTTTTTGTACTGGTGTATGTAAACACCCCTGGGGATTTATTATGTATTTTTTTTTTTTTAAATCTGAGGTGACTAAGGCAGGGCTAAGAGAGTTTAAATGTGTCAATATTTGCAAAACAAAAATATGAGAAACAAATTTTTTTTAGAAAAAATAAAAAATTAAGTAATGTAAGTATTCCAAGAAGAAAGCTGAAAAGTTCTTAGCCAGAATAACTTCCCAAAATTTAGATAAATGAACAAACCAGTCTTCTTGTTTGAGCAAAAATCTTTTCAGCATCCTTGTATCTGTTGCAGAAAATGTTACTTAAATATAAAAATAAATAAATAAAAGTTAATATTAGATTATAGGTACCGCCATGAAATCACTAAAAAGTCAGTATACCATGATGAAAACATGTCCCAAACATAATGAAAACAGTTTTATCGCAAAAACCATTGTTATTATTAAGAGGAAGGATCAAAGTATTTTTTGAATATTTAATGAAATTTTTTTTTTTTTTTTTTCTTTTTAGAATATTTGAAATTTTGATTAAAAAAACTTTTTTCTTCTGTCAGCAGATGTTACTAACTTTTAGCATAGCAAATTTTAGCCTCTTTTTGTGGTGACAGACACATTAATTTGGAAATTCTTTCAAAAATCAAATTGTCAGATTTTAATGAAATTTTCAGGTCTTATTTACAAATTATTTTTTTTTAATTTTTTTACTGGAAAATCTTAGTAAATATATATGTATTTTATACATATTTCACCCCCTTAATTCTATGAAAATTTGAGAAATTTAATATAATTTTTAGTAACTATTAGTTAAAAGCAAAATTCTTTGAAGAATTTAAATCAAATTTTTTTGCAAAATCAAACCCAATCTTACTGAAAATCTGTTCTGAATCGGAAAATATAAAATGCAATAAAACTAAGACATTATTTAATTAGAGAAGCTTTTTAATTGCTTTTATGAATATATTAAAGACAATATAGTCTGAGGAAAAAATTTTTCCATGAAAAAATGATTTTTTTTTTTTTTAACACAAGATTTGTTTTTCTTTTTTTTCAATTTTAAATTGAATAATTTATGAAGTTTTTAAATTATTTAAAATTCAGTTTCACTGGTGTAACTCTTAAAAAATATAGTTATAAAGTAAAACTATTTACTAATCATATATTGTAAAGCTTTTACAATGACAACCCCAAATATATTTAAAAAGAATTTTTAATTTTTTGTGTTTAAGCATCCTAATTTTTCTAAGTATGCAAGTTCGTACATGACATTATCATTAAATGTTGTTTTAAGTGTTGTCCTCTCTTATGGAAAAAAAAATATAAAATTTATATATGCAATTTATCATCTGCTAGCAATTGTAAAAGTAATATCTGTTTCAAATCAGATTATAAATAACCATAATTGTGCTGTTAGTTTCAGTGGTGACGCTTTTACCATCCTTAGCAAATCCCACTCAAATTGCCACCTGAAAGTGTTGGAGGCCATCTACATTCTATCTTTAAAGCCTTCTCTTTGTAAACAGAAGGACTTCATATTAGGCCTCCAACTAATTACCATTAAAAAATTTTTTTTTCTCTCCCAGCAATACACGTTTTTTTCATTTTTACTTTTTATTATCATGAGTGGTAATAATAAATCTAATTTTTGTCTGTTCATGGCATTCATTCATATATATATATATATATATATATAAGTAATCATCATATACAATAATAATCTGTTGGTACATAATCCAAGTGAACCCTAATAATATAAAATATTAAAACTGATCCACAAAAAGAGCTCAATGTATTTATTATAATAGAGCATATAAATTACATAGAATAGAAATCAAAAATTTACCTCATTTGAATAGCTATTTCAACCAACAAGTTCTTTGTTGGCATTGTCAACTCACACACACATATATATATATATATATATATATATATATATATATATATATATATATATATATATGATAGATAGTACCAGGGACAAAACTCCGTTTACAGATCCAGGACCTTCTCACTCCTTGGAACCCCTCCCTGACTGACCATGTCTTCAGGGGTCTAGACATACTCATCACAATTGGCTAATTGTGGGTCGGTGAGGCTATAGAGCCCAGTTTGTCCTGTTATTTACCCATAACTGGCGATAGAAGAGATGGATTCATACCTTTCCTAAAGTATTTGCACATAAGTGAATCTAACAGACCTCACTACAATTCGAAATTGGCTGATTCCTCGGTCCAAGCCGCTATTCCTTACTTCATATATGTAATAAATAGAGTATGTAAATATAAAAGTGGACAGTGACGTCAAATAGAAGTAGTGACAGGGTTTCATGAAACAGACTGTTGGTGCTCTGAACCTGCTTTTATATACACTATCTCTGATATTGAGGACTTTTACCCATAAATATAGCATACTTAAAACTATATAAAAACTGTTTGTGTATTTGCTTTTACAGACTATGTCCAGAAGAAAAAAAGAAAGAATTTAATAAAAAGGTTAAATGCAGCACCTTGTCATTTATTTTCAATGAAACTTGTGTGTGTGCATATATATATATATATAAAAAGAGCTCTTCAGTAAAATGAATGAGTTGACTGGTGTTTGTTTACATTCATAAAAACAATATGTTAGAATTAGAAGTTTCTCTCTGTCGAGTGCTAATGACTTAGGGGTAGAACCTCCAACTGATACCAAATTGGCCAGGTTTTGGTCCTGGCTTGATGCTTTCGGATTATCTAGTTGCACTGAGAAGTTGTAATACAGCAAAACAGTACTGTCTGTGAATGACATCATTTGAAAATATTACTTTGATTTGAAGCAATACTCTGATCCTCCATACAAAAGTGCTATTTTCATAGATACCCTGCTAATAATTATTAAAACAAAAACGTGTATGTGTATATACATACCCATGTCCCATGGCCAAAAAAAAAAAAAAAAAAAGGAAAAAAAAAAAAAAAACAAAAGGAAAAAAAAAAGGAAAAAAAAAAAAAAAAAAAAAAAAAAAAAAAAGAAAAAAAAAAGGAAAAAAAAGGAAAAAAAAAAAAAAAAAAAAAAAAAAAAAAAAAAAAAAAAAAAAAAAAAAAAAAAAAAAAAAAAAGAAAAAAAAAGGAAAAAAAAAAAAGAAAAAAAAGGAAAAAAAAAAAAAAAAGGAAAAAAAAAGGAAAAAAAAAGGAAAAAAAAAGAAAAAAAAAAAAAAAAAGGCACCAAAAAAGAAAAAAAAAAATAAAAAAAAAAAAAAAAAAAAAAAAAAAAAAAAAAGAAAAAAAAATTGAGAAATATAAGCAGTCAATTGCTGACAGTGGTGTTCAGGGGGGGGGGACACAGGGCAGTGGCCCCAGCCAACACTCAGGGTGTTGGAGGGAGGAGGGGAAAGTCTCACTTCCAATAAAGTATATTATTTTTGTTTGAACAAATGCTGGAACAAGAAAGAAGAAACATAACGTTTTTTATTTATCAAATACACATAAAATTAGATAATAAAATAGTTTTAATTTTAGTTTTAAAATGTTTATATTTGGCTGCTGGTACCTACTTGAATCTAAAGTTTTTTTTCACATCTATGTGTGAAGTCTAAGACTTTAGCATCAGTCACAATCCTCGCCCCTGGCATTACTAGACTTCTGTATGCCACTGATTGCTGATACTTCCTGATGAGTGAAAAGATGGGCCTGCCCACAAAACTTTGGAGTCACAATAAGGAAGGTAACATTAGCTAAGTGACAAACCTTTATATATATTTTAATATAATCAAAATTCTATGGAAAGATCCACTCTCAATAAAGGCACCATACTTTGAATGTCTCTTTGCTCCATAGTTCACTACTGACAAAGTGAAATTTATATATACAATTCATTGTTAAAGATTCTGGAAAAATGTTCAGATCATTCAATAGTACCAGGAAGAACCAGACTCCTCATGCTTTATCATTAAAAAAAAAAAAAAAAAAAAAATGAAGTATTGCTGCCATATCCAGATTAGAGCTGTTCAATCTTCATTTTCTTTCCTTGATAGCATTCAAAATTATTTAAAATGGTCAGAAGACTTATTTTCCAACTTCCTTCCCACAGATCCAACATTTCGAGTCTCTTGCTACTATTACTATTTCTATGGCAGATTTCTATCTGAATTACTTCGACAGTGTAATTGTCAAACTATGCCTCTGTGCAGAGAGGAACCCAGACGAGGCTATGCCAAAGGGCAGAGTCTCGTCTGGGGTTGTAGACAGCTACCCAACCCCAATTTTATGGGGTCTATGGGGAATTTTTGGCTGAGCCTATGGGCTCGGATACCCCACAATAAACTTGGCCTTGTGCCACATCCGACCGCGTGGGGCGGTTAGTGAATATCATTACTATTTCAATGGCAAATGTTCTGATCAACTCAATTATTCTTTTTAGTTCAACCAGTTCAGATCTTTATAGCTAGGCACCATGTTCTGTCCACAGAGTCAAATCACCCTTATTTCATCCATGTTCTAAGTTCTAATCAAACAGTTTCCAACCAGACTTCCACATAAGTCCTTCCCTGAACAGTACAATTTTAACCTCTTCAAATCAAAAGTAAAATCATTATTCTTTCTCTTGCAATCTTGATTGGAATTTCTTTGAAAAGAAATATCAGGATATAATGATGGCTCTTCCTCATTTTCTAAATTAGATATTTTTTAAAATAAAGAGAGATGATAGGTTACACAACATTATTTTGATTTATGATTTAAATGAAGTTTTAGAATCTGTTTAAAACCAGTATTGCAATTCTAAATGATCATTTTGTTAAAAGTAAAAAAATTTTTCTATAGTTTTCACAAAAATAAGTTGGGGTAGAATTTAAAAAAAAAAAAAAAAAAATCAATAGGGGAGACAATTTTTATAGACCCAAAAACCAAAATGGCACGAGATATCTTGGTGGTGTCGAAACCACTGTGTTGTTAGATGTAGAAAGATGTAAAAAATTAAAAAAAAAAAAGAAAAAAGAAAAAAAAAGGTGGTATTAAAAAAATGACCCAACACACAAATAGCAACATTACAAAAGTGGGATAAAAATGACACTGCAATTCAACTCTAATCAAGAACAAAATTCAATTTGTCTGTCTGTTCGAACCTCAAAGACAAAGATACCCGTTAGAAAACATGCAGAATTATGAAAATATATTGTACCTGTGCCGTCAAAAGATGACTGCAATTTTAGAATGTTTTAATACTGAGATGCAATGAAACTAAAGTTTTGAAAGAATTTGAGATTTAATAAAACGGAAATCGAGAATTCACAACTAAAATAAAGGAATGACTCAAAGGGAAGTAATAACAGCTCATAAATTTACCTCCCTTTCCATTATTTATTGCGTTCATGCAATACGAAAATCTTCGAAATCAGAACATGATAAACTGAAATCATTGAAAACTTTCCAAATTTGATTTACATACCAATCATGTTCGTTGATAACATCCCAAAATTTTGATTGTCCATTCTAAAGAGAAAAAGAAAAAAATTTTTTTTTTAAAAATGGTTGTTGGTGATAATGGCGAGGTATTCAAAACCAAGTAATTTATTCAAAGTAGCACACTATTTGCTATGAATACATTATGCTTCCCTTCCTGAACCTGTAGACTCCGTGGAGTATAGAGCCACAGCTTCATTACACTACACTAGTTGGTGCTGCTGTGGTTTCAGTAGCAAGTATATTTTACAAGCTGGGGTTGTAAAATCTAATTACACCTAACTAATTTTGAATTTAGTGCTGCCCTTCTCCTAGAGAGTTCAGTCCTACTCTATTTAACCCATAGTTGTGTGGGAGATTATATATATATATATATATATATATATATATATATAAAAACAATATCAAAGATAGTTATAAAACAAAAATTATCTAAGTACCAACACAGAAAATGCAATACCTAAGTTTTAGAATGAAAAATCTTTCATAAAATTTATTTTAGTCTTAATTTCAAGCTAAGAGATTAAATTTAATATTTCTAATAAGCAAAATACTTTGCTGTATTTCAAAAACTAATTTAAATTGGCTGAAAAGATTTTTTTTTTGCTAAAAAAGCCTATTTAGCTATCTTTCATCACAATGTCATTTTTTTTTTATTAAAAAAATCTTCCATAAATAAAATACTTTTTTGAAACTATTTGAGGAATATTATCTAATTTAAAGTTTAATTAATCGGATTTGAAACAAATATTTACTTTAAGTTTAAAACAGAAATGCATATTTTAACCAGTGTGTTTTTAACCCAAGCATAATTGAAGAAAATGACAGAAGCACCTTCTTGATATAATTTTTAAGTATTCATCTTACAAATTTAGGAAAATTTTCTGTAATCTGTTTTATTGAATTTTAGAAATGTCAACTTTAAATTTACTATAGTTATCACTCTTATTTTCTGATGTCATGTATAATTACCTGGACTTACAAAAATCAACACATTTATACACATAATCCTTTTAAAAAATATCAGTGTTTGATGATTTGTATTAAGATGTTCCATTTATGATTAGTAAATGTAGTGTTCACTTAATATCATCTAAAATGGTGAAATACAGAATTTTAAGATTTAAAACTTAAATTAGAATTTAAAAAAAAAAAAAAAAAATTTTTAAAAAAATTCATTATCCATCGAATAAAATTTTTTAAGACAATAGTGTCCATAATACATATTTATAAAAGCAATTAAAAGCTTTTCTAATTAAATATTATAAAGTTTTATTGCATTTTTTTTTATTTTGATTCAGAGCAAATTTTTGGTAAATATGGTTTCTGTTTGGAAAAAAAAAATAAAAAAAAAAATATTTGATTTAAATTCTCCAAGGAATCCTGCTTTTAACAAATATAAATATGTAGAGACTGAAATTTTAATTTCCCAAAATTTCATATAAATTTATTTATTTTGTTTTTGCATTTTCTAAAAAAAAAAAAAAAAAAAAAAAGAAATTTTTTGAATAAGTCCTGAAGATTTAATTAAAATCCAACAATTATTTGATACAAGGAAAACAAAGATATTTAACCAAAAATGCTAGAAAGGATTAAAAAAAATACTTTGGTCTTCCCTCTTAAACATTTTGATGATAAAACTGTTTTTATCAAGTTTAGGGCCTTTTTAGTCATGGAATGCCTTTTTTTAAAAGAAAATTTTTGTTGGTATCTAATAAAATAACTTTCAGTACTGAGAATTTGTTCACTGGTTCTACTCAAAATATCCTTTATATGTAAGATTTTTTATTTAAATACTAGGAGGGGGGAAAAAAAGAAAAAAAGAAAAAAGGCAACCAATTTTAGTTAGTAAAAGTCAAGAATCAGGGTCATAATTCATAAGCTAAAATTTGTTTTATATTTTCAAATACATTTTTTTCAAAATATATATTCAGATATATATATATATATATATTCCCATTTGTGCAGAGGTTTGTTGGTTCCTTTTTCTTTGAGAAAATGGTTTCTTTAGATGAAGCTATTCTCTATTGTTCGAGTATGAAGTAAAGATTCATACTGTAAATCAACAAAATTATTTTCATGAATTATATAACTGTGATCAGCCCATTATAAGCGAAGCAACCATCACTAATGATCATAGACCCTTGTTCAATACATCTTTGGATGACTGCTTCTAGCTAGAGAGTGCGTCTCGATCTATAAGGAACAAGTTCTACAAATTAAGTTAATTCTTCAGAATTTTTTAAAAATTCCTCCAAACAGCTGTTAGAGTATTAAAATTACAGTGGAACCTTGAGATACGAGATTCCATGACCAAGTTTGTAAATTGAGTTATTTGCATGTCAAAGCTATTTTCCTCATTTAAAATAATTAAAATATCATTAATCTGTTCCAATCTCCCCAATAAAACACCCTACTGTTTTTTGATATGTACTTTTAAATATGACCAATGTATTTTACTATAAATAAAATAGAATACATGTATGAATGTAGTAGTATTAAATAGTGCCCCCAAAATAATAAAATAATCTTGCTTACCTCTGACATTAAGAGGTGGCGCTGAGTAATGGTAAATTAAGCTGAGTTGGGGGGGCGAGTGGCAGATATTGAAGTGTGGGTCTTGTAGGAGACAGATGGCAGAGTTTTTGTTGGCTCATAAAATGTATCAATACTAATTGGTACAATTTATTTTTATTAATTCACTTTATCAGTGAACTTAATTGCCAAATATATATATATTTTTTTTTTAACAGTTAAGTTTTCATTGCCTTTGCCATTACATATGTACACTTAATTGCTACAGCTTTTTTGCTTTTTCACTTAGCACCAAAGTTAAAATTATGTACATTGTTTTACTTAAGAATTATTCTATGTCACTAATTTTTTTTTAAGGTCATTAATGACGTTTGCATCTTAACTAATTTTTTTGTTTTTCAACATGCTTTCTTCACTTTGAACTGAAGGTCATTTCAATAAAAACCTATCTATGATTGATCGTTTCTTCCTTCCCTAAATGTGTTAGGCAAGTGTCATTATACAGCACCAATGCATGGCTAGTTGACACTTTTTCTAGATGTTTTTTTTGTTTTTGTTTTTCTATAAAGACCACAAAATCTTCCCACATCCAAAATTTTCTGCATCTTTTTCCAAAATAACCCTGACTAGTCACAATTGAAAACTTGTTGGAGGACATGTCCTTCCACCTCAATCAATTCAGTGTAAGTTTTTACCTATTTTTCCATTGCCTTTTTATCAGAACTTGCTGCCTCACCATGGAGTGAATGCCAGACCTCTTTCTAAACTTATCAAACCAGCCACAACTGTCTTTAAATGAATCTTGTAAGTCTGTTGAAGTACCTGGTATCTGCTTCAGCAAGTAACTATAAATCACTTGTGCCTTCTCACAAATAATCGCCTTTATCATGGTCTTCCCTGCGAGTTGTTTTTGGTGCACCCACACTAATACCAGCTTTTCCATCTCTTTGTGAAGCGGAGTCTGAAGCTTTGAAAGAATTGTAACGCCCTTAGCTGGGGTTTTAGTTTACACAGTGTATCCTTCTGTTTAAGAACAGTGCATATTGTCGAAGTACTGCACTCAAACTCTTTTGCCAAAAAGAACAATACATACTCCACGTTTATGTTTTGCAATGATTTCGCGTTTCAAGTGAAATCATTCGCTTCTACATAGCACTGTCCTTTGGATTAAGTTTCTTAGGGATCATGTTTGAAATTCGGCAAAATTGCACAGATCAAAACAAAAGGAGCTAAACACAACGTAGATTACAACGTACCACTATCGTTCTTGACGAAATAAACAATTAAACTAGTCGCGTGGGCCCTAGATGTTGAGAGAGCTTGCTCGTCTTCCGATAGTTTGGTAGATGGCTGGGCTGCGCGCGGTTTTCAAAATCAAACCTAGCGAGCTCGACTCGTACTTCGAGGAAAACTTGTAACTCATTTTTTTTCTACTCGTAAATTGGGTCACTTGTATGTAGAGGTTCCACTGAACTTGCATTTTTGCGCATCCGTATTATTACCCCTGCCTTATGGCCCCGATTATAATCTTTATATTTTATAGTTTATTCGTTTCAAGATATTGCAAGTAACTAAATTTCCCCTTACACCGGCGGACAAAAACCAGACAAAATTCCCTACCAACGAAATAAATAAAAAAAAAAGGTTATGAAATTTTTTCAAGTGGCGAACCACACTACACAGGAAAACCAAAAATACATTTTTTTTTTATAAAAAAAAAAAAAAAAACATTTTTCAGCTATATTTTTAAATAACTGAAAACATGGGGGTCCAGATAAAACCCCACTACCAGGGTCGTACTTAAGTGGGGTTTAGGGCGCTAGGCCTCCTTCAATATTTTTTTAAAAAAAGTATTACAGTGTAACCCGGATATAAGAGAGTTGTCGGGACCGGAGAAGTCTCTTATATTCGGGTTTGGTCTATAAAAACAGGCTCTAATTTGGGACCAGAGAAAATCTCTTATATCCGGGTTACACTATTAACTATGGGGGTCTAGAAAACCTCACTACAACAATACCAGGCCACCCCCACCATACGTTTACGGTTTTAAATTAAGTTTAACTAAAAAAAAAAAAAAAAAAAAAAAAAAATCATTGATTCCAGTCCAGATAAGCCCCCACTGCAACAAAACCAGGGCCGTAAACATTTTTTATTTAATAAATTACTATCGTATTGTTTTCCTTCAAGCAAATAAAAAAAATCAATTTAAGTTGTATCTTTTCAAATTATTAGTTTATTAAAAAAAAGTAGTAAGTTTTGTTTTATTTCTTTTTAAAAAAGCAAACTGCAAAAACTACGTATATATAGTTTCATTTTTTATTTAATTTAAAAAATATAGGGGAGGTGGCTTAGCCACTTAAATACCTATTCGCACCCCCACCACACACACACAAGAAATCAAATTTCCAATCGACTTTTATTTTTATTTTTTAAAATCAAAGTTTGCGAATTTTCCGGACACCCTTTTAGTTTAAGTTTTAATTTTTCAACAAATTTGAGTTGAGAAACCAAGTGACTGTCACTTGACTTTAAGTGTCGTTATTATTCACAAGAGAAAAATAAAAAAAATAAAAAAACAGACATGTTTTGTTGAGGGGGGGGGTGAGTAGCAAGAATATAGAAAAAAAATTCAGTGTGAAAAAGTTGAAATTCTTACAACATAAGATTCAACTTTTAAAAACTTTTTCACTTATTTTTTTTAAAAAGAAAATAATTAAAAAAACGAAACGGAGTTTGTTGGCAATTAATCTTAAAGAAAGAAGGAAGATTTATTAAAACTTTAAAAGATATATTTTTTTTTAAAATACTGTATCAGACAAATTGTAAGGGGAAAAAAAATATCGTTTTAGAAAAAAAAAACAAAAAAAAAAAACAACTTACCTGCTTATAGTGGAGTCGAAGTGGTTTGATATATTTAGATTTTTCACAGGGTGTAATGATCATATCTGATATAGAATCGACCATCTTGAGAAATCGGAAATGTCTATAACTGTTACTATTAAAATAATTATGGCTAGAAAAAGACCTGGTGTGATTCTTTAGTGTCCAAGAGACAAATGCCGAATCCCGACAGGAAAAGAAATCAAACGGTAACTGGAAATGAAACTCCTTTTCGGTGAAAGTCTCGTTTTTTCCCCGCGTGTGAATTCGCCGAATTTGAATAAAATTGAAACTATTTACAAAAGAATTTCCTTGTAATATTTGTTGCAGCTTTTCGTTTAGCTTACGGTATCTCTTAATATTTGTTAATGTTAAGCCTGGCTTTGTCTGGTACAAGGCTCCAATTATAGGGCGCGTAGTGAGCGTAGGATTTGCAATGATCTGCGAGACTGTCTTCAGTGGCTTGTTAATCATTGCTTTTGATGGGCAAAGCAAAATTCAGGTGTTCGTAAGCCTGATTAAAATTAGTTTTACATGCATAGCACCTAGTGAGAATCAAGCTCGCTACTCAGGGTAAAATTTGGGCAATTAAGTCTCCAAGAAGCTTCGGCCTCGCCTCGGCAAAGCTTCCTTGATCTTAAGTTAAAGGCTTTTTTAATGTGGTACAAAGAAACAACTTAATGGGTGACATTCACGAGAATCGAACTCTCTAGGCACACAAAACGTTTCTGGTAAAAATAAATAAAGACAAGATATAGTAAGTAATGGGTCAGTAGGTCACACGTGAAGACCAAACACGCTCTTTCTACAACGTGGTCCAAAAGTCTTGTCACCTCTTTATTTCTTCCAATCTGTAGAAGCACGTCAGCCAACTGAAATAGAAAGTTATATTAGGTAGGAGTGACAAAACCTTCGGACCACCCTGTAGTGTTGCACACCGTAACCGAACGTCATTACGAAGTATTTTTATTTATTTGCGGTTAAATAAAAATCCGAGTTCACAGTGTGTACTTTAGTACAAGGTCATAAAAAAAAAGTGTCTCGAACAGGCCGTTATCAATTATGAGGATGGCCACAATTGCACGAAAAGGTGACCAAGTTACTGTTTACTTACATTCTTCGGTTTAATCTGGTAAAAGGCTACAAATACGAAGAACTGACTGAAGATAAGATCGAAATAAACCACTAATTTACAATATCTGCTAAAAAAGTAACTCTTACTGCCCCACGGTGATTCGTTCAGTTGTTTCCCTTATTTACAAAACACAGTGCCATATAAACAGTAACGAGGATTGAATTTGACTTTTTTAAAGATCTTCGAGACAAACGTGCTAAACCATTACATCACAGGGCGACCCTTTTTATCAGACGCCTCTTGGCGTATTGATTTTTATGTGACAACACCTTGAAACTAAATGTTTTCAATAGTATGGCGATCAAAGTTATCAATTTTGTCTTTGTTACGAGTATTGCCAAACAGCTTGTACTACTACGTGTTTTTTGCGGCTTTTGCTTAATCAACCATATTAATTACGGAAACGCTTTTCAAGGATGCAGAAAATGGGTCCAAAAAAAAAAAAAAAAAAAAAAAAAAAATGGATGCTGTTTTACCGCCATTTTTAAAAATTACCAAACCAAAAATCGAGGAATTATTGAATTTAAATTTTAAATAAAATTTAACTTTTTTTTTTAATAGAAGTCAGTCTTCAAAATTTGTCCTAAAACCTTCAATAAACTTTAAATTTTTGTCGAGTTGTTGCTTGCATAACTTAAATTTACATTTTTTTCAGATTTGACGGGAGAAAAAAAAATCTACAGTGAAGATTTATTTTTGAAAACTAACAGTTATGAAATCCCTTCAGTTTCTGATGTGTAGCAAAAAAGCTTTAACCTTTTGTTTCTTTCCTTGCAAACAATGCCCGTGTAACTGGTTAAACGTTCTCAATTCAACCCGTACCATTTTTTTTTTTTTACTTTACAATGTGCTAACAAGGAATAAGCAAACTAAACAAGAATAACATTCAACAAGAAGTTGCACATGGAATTTATATACGCATAACAATTGTACAGTCAGTTTTGTCTGAAACGCTGAAATTTACTTGTTGGAATTTTGAGTGAGGAAAATGTTCCTGTTAAACTGATGTGTACTAAAAAGCGTGAGTTTGGAGAAGTTTAATATGTATTCTTACTTGTAAGAGAATTTAAACAATGTGTTACTCACAATGTTAAGTGTTTCTGTAGTTGAAAGTTAAATGCTTAAAGAGTTATTTACCTTGAACTGTTTGAATCGTTTTGCTTAAGGCTTTCAAAGAAACTTGTTGAGTGAGAGAAAATTGTATTCTTCGCTTGAAAATCGAGAAGTAATATTTGGCGCTAAAAATGTAGTTTTTTTTTAGTTTAATACTTCCGAGTTGAAAAATATATTGAAGTATCTTGTTCTGGCGGCGTGCTGTTTGCTGATGAAAGTCTCACTGTTAGAAGTTAAGTTTCTGTGTCCTTGTAGTTGAAGGAGTGAATGTTCATAGATGTGCGATATTCACACGTACGCGTGTGTCATGATGTTTCATAGCGTTTTCCGCAAAGGGGAGGAAAAAAAAACGCAATTTCTCCACATAGCTTACATCACTTGGGTCTGAGAAGACTGATTAAAAAGAGGAAGAGTTGAATATGTCGCGAAGTATTTATGTGAATCACAGGACAGGCTCAGAAAAAAAAAAGAGGTGCCAAATTTTGGCTTGGTCACGCGCTGGGAAAAAAAGCTTATGCGTGGGTGGATAGTAACGCCGACTTGTGTTTATTGACCAATTAGAACTAGAGTAGAATTTTTTTTTTTTAAATATGAGGCTGGATCTGTTCATAAACTCACTGTGATCCGCTTTTTTGCACAAAAATTGGACAAGTTATTTTTAGCTATTTGAAATTGTGTAGCTATTCGTTGAACACAGCCGTAAGAAAAGCAAAAACAAAAAAAAAACCGTTTTCAGTTTTTTATCTATCATTTACAGACAAAATTTACATATGCGCAAAGTCTCGCAAGAGATTATTTGACTCCTGGATCAATCTGTTTTAAATATGTAACCTGCGAAGCAGCCATTTCTTATTGTGGGGGAGGGGACAGTTTACACGCGAATCTTTGTTCGCGCAGGAGGCAAGTTATTTTATTCTAGAGTTGCTCTTTCATTATAGCCCTAGCTCGGTCCAACAGTTGGTTTGTATTCATGACTTCCATCCTGAAACACGCGCGCAGTAGTTGCTTGACGTGCGCTGGTAACCATGCTATGAACCCACATGCTAGTCCTTGCTCGGATATCCCGCCAAATAGACCTGCTAACTTCTTCAAGTCGGCTAGAAACACGTCGACGGATTCGTTCGGGCGCAGTCGGCGTTCCGCGAATTGCTCGTAAGCCAAGAAACGATCCGGTGCAAAGGCTCGTTTTATCTGCTCGACATCTGATTTTTGTTCTGAGTTTAACTGTTGGTAAACAGCAAACGCTCCGCCCGTCAACCCCAGACTAAGAACATGTTCAACCTTTTTAATTCCACACAGGTCACAAACTAGTTCTGCCTGCTCAATCCATTCAGTAACTGCTTGTCCGGTCACTGAACCATCAAACTCGGGTATCAACTTGACATCAAATGTCTTGTCCGTCATAGTGCCGAAATAGCTGACGTATTTCGGCTACCGCGTTCGTCGTCGAGTTATTTTTCCGACTGGTTACCTGCATTGCGATTTGTGAGATAGTACCTGCGAATCGAGTTTTCGGCTTTTCTTTCTGTCCCCGATATTCGAGTCTGAACTTAGTGATTCGTTTTCTGCGTTGTGGAAGTAAACATTTCCTTTGCTTTCAGAACGCTTATAGTTGCAAAAAAAAAGATGCATGCAATCCTGGGCCTCTTTGTCCTCTACGGTAGTTCACTACGCCCCCAGCATCTCCATGATCACAGCAAATGCAACCAGATGAAAACCTCTTCTGCCGGGTCCTCCTCCGAAGTGTGTGTGTGATGGGCAACATAAGATTTTAGTCTTCAGATGAATCACCACTGGACGAGTCATTGGGTCCTTCTGCACCAGTCTCCTCGCTGCTGTTATCAAGAGAATCGCTTGGCGAAGTTGATCTCAAGTCGACTAACAGCTCGCTTTCATGTTCAAATAGTGAATACGACCCCAGAAAGGGAAGCAAATCCTTCACATGACTGGGAATTCCGTCAGCTTGTACTGTCTGCGAACAGTTAACCTTCGTTATGCGGCTTGTCTTAAACTTGATCGTATACCTTTGCGGAGTCTTAACCCAGACAGTCTCCCATCTCGTATGCTCTTTGAGTACTCCATGGTTCAGGCGGAATTTTCGATGACCCATACGTGGACGTGATACTTGTATAGCGTGTCTGTAGGCGTTATGCCAGTAGACTGCCTTTGGAAAGCACTGCTTTCTAGCGGCAATAGTTTTAATGCTTCTGTGACTCTCCGACTATACCATTCTAGGTAGGTGCATAAGCACATCAGAATCGAAGCTGCTCGCCCTAGTCACTTTGCTAAAGTGCCCGAGATTTACCTTAAGACACCGAGTCAGTTTGTGACACAAGGTCGGTTTTTAACGTGGGAACCCGAGTGGAAGCACTCGGGCCGCTGGTCTAAGCTGATCATAGGCAGTCATACCACTGCTACGTAACAGGTGTTACGCAATGGTGGGGAGGGATGCAAGGAAGGAGAGGAGATCACGGGAATATTACAGATATCACAACCGCAGCTTCTCTGCCAACCAATCCCTCCGGAAGAATACGGGGGGGGGAGAAGCCCTGTGTCGTAGAATCGCTCCACCTATTGAGTGACGACTGATTTAGTAGTCGCTGGACTCTATGCAAAATAAGACAAGTAAATTTTGCCTATGTGCCTACATCTTCGTTTCAACTGATATTCGATTCGGTAATCTACTATCGGTCTTTTCCAACACGCGTTGCGGTTTTTAGAGCCTGGAAAGGATATATCCGACAATATCTAAGCTGACCAGAGCCTGTCTAAGCTAGTCATAGGCGGTCTTACCCCCGCTACGTAACAGGTGTTA